TCCAGACGCGCCGAGGCCGGGCCCGCGACCTGGGCTCCCCAACAGCGCGGCGGCCCCACGGGGTCGGCCCCTGCTGGGAGTCGGACCAGCGAGGGGGGGGGAGGGAGGGTCAGGGCGCAGCGGCCTCGGGGCACTTTCCGGGGGAAGAAAATGCCTCCTGTCTGGGTGGGAGGCGGTTACGGGAATGTGCGGGGCCGTTGCAGCTCCTGGAGCCCCACGCTTCGGATCTGCGTGTCCTACTGGGTGTCGTCGAGTGTAAGTTACAGCCGACGGGCTGCCGGAGCGAGGGCGGACGGGGTGAAAGCCGTAGGAACTACGACCAGAGCCCCGGGCCGCGGAGCAGAGACCCCTTTGGAACGCTCGGGGGCTGCCCGTCGGTCCGTCCGAGCGCGCGCTGGGAGGGAGGGGTCAGGCCCGGAAAGGAACGGAAGCGCTGACGTCATGCGTCAACCGCGGACACGCGAAGCTCGCACTGCGCACGTCAAAGCGACTACGTCGGTGACGGCCTGGTAACAAGGTGTCCTCAGTTGTAACTGTTGCAGTTTGGTCACAGCGCCGGAAGCCTTACAGGCTGCAGTGGGAAAAAGCTGGGAAGGATCCGTCTGAGATTGGGGTGCTAAACATTTCCGCGGCGCGGCCACGCACATCTGCTGAAGGGTACGGGGCCAAAACGTGTAACTTTTGTAGAGCTGTTTTCGCAGCTTATCTATGGGGGTCCCTACCCCACCTCCCCCCGACGTTTTAATATGGGTGGGCTTTTTTTCCCCATTTAAAATAGTGATTCGTGCCGTTCAAAATAAACATGAATGTTAGCCCCAGGTTGGTATTCATGAATTTTATCACCGCGTTTTCAAGAACACTGCTCCCCAACTGGTTTAAGTTTTGGGCTCCGCAGCTCCGGACTGTACCCCCGGATCAGCCTCGGGGCGCAACCCTGCGTGTAAGACAGCAACTGGCAGAAAAATGCATTCAGAACAATGTCATAAAGTTGAAAAGCAGGCAGAACTTCCTCTATTGCTTACGGATTAAAAACAAATGCGGCAAAATGATAAGGCCCACAGGGGATTCGGAAGCAGGACCAAACCACGGCTTTCGTGGGACCCGGGCACTTCTTGTCTTCATGGGCGCGTTCCGCCTTAAAAGTATCACAAGTCATCTTTTGTGACCAGATTGTTATAAGCACAAGCATATTGTTAAATATTAAGAGATTTTTCAACCTAAAATTTCGCTTCTTTCCTGACTTACAGGACGTTGAAACGTTTTCACGCGTCCGGAGCCCGAGCTCGCGTGTCTGGCGCGGGCGCGCTGTTGGGCGCTCAGGGCAACGCCGGGCCGCGCGGCGCGAGCCGCCTGGCGCTTCACACCGCTCCTCGCGCAGCGCAGGCTGCAAGGACGCTCAGTGACATGGTTATCTCGGGGGAACAGAAACTCAGGTGATTTTTTTTTTTGGTCACCTTATCTTTTAAAAAAAAGTTTATTTTTCGTAGTCATCCAGGTCTGTATTTTTTAAAGTATTACATAAAAATATTATTTAAAGAGGGACGCATGTACAATTTAAAATGCAGTATCGTTTGAAACAGTTTTGTAACTCTCTTAGCTGGACACTTCAACTGACTAGGGCGAAACTACCTCGCGCGGTAGAAAAATCCAGAAGCCGGGAGAATAACGGTTTTCCGCCCCGTGTTCCGACGTCAACTGCCAGATTGGCAAATTAGCATAACGGTCGGCCGCGGGGAGGGGCTTCCCGTCAGCCACGCCCCTCGCTGGAACCTTCCCTCGCCAGAGCCCTCCCGCGTTCCTGGCTTGCGGCCCCTCATTCTTCGGTTGAGGTTCTCGGCAAGACCGTCGCCCGCGGACGTACTGGACCCGGCCGGCCTCAGCCTCCTCTTTGCTTTTCAGCGTTGGTCAGCAGCAGTAATTATCTGGTCTTTCTGCCTTCTCTACGGTACTAGAGTAAAAGCTAGTGGTAGTTGCTCAGCATCGAAGTCGGTAGTTAGGTGTTAAAAAGAAATGGGCAGGCCTTCCGGTGGTGTTTTCACTATGATACTCTGTATTGTTTTCCTTTACAATACTTTAACGTATCCTTTTTATGAAATACAAAGTATATCTACTCCCCCAACCGCAATACTTAATGTATCCCTTCCCTTTAGTACGAAGTGTATCCATGCCTCCAATTACATGTTGATTACGTATCAGGTCTTTAAAAGGAACTCTAAGAAGGAAACAGAATTCCTTCGCAGGCCGTTACACGCCCTCCTGGAACATCTGAGGCGTAGAAAACGGCAAAGAACAGAGGCAGAAGCAGAGAGGTAGGCGCCCGAGTCAGCGGGCGGGTTAGTGGGTCGGGCTGCGCCCCGACGGGGAGGAAGTCCTGGGCAGGGCCGCGTTCACTCGGCGGCGGCAAACTCCGCCCCCACCGCGCGGACGCCCCCGATTGGTGGGTTCGGCAGCTCGGAAGTGACGCCAGAGCCAGGTGTCCGGGTCGCCGGCGGAGCTCGGGCGCGCCTTCCCACGCCCCGCCCCTCTGCGCACCAAAACACAGCGGCGGCGGAGGCGGGG